AAAAAACCATTTAATAAACATCAAATATAAGTGACAATATACATAACATGTGAAAAAGAAAACAGTAACAGTGATTTTTGAAATGAATTCAGGGAAGTAAATTAGCTCTTTAAATCTGTCACGGAAAATTCCCTAAATAATTTCACAGTTAATTTGATTACTCAGCACAAGAGTGGGTTTCAAAATCAAAATACTACTTGCTTTCATGGAGGCTGGTTTTATGATTACTGCTCCCACAGAACCCTTTAAACCTTAATACAAAACTTTAATTCAAGATTATTTACTAATTAGAAATAAATAAATATGGCATGGGGAAAACTAAGAAGAAGGTAATAAAGTCAATCAAGGTAAAGTTTGGAAATTACAGCCTGGAAGATACTGCCGCTATTGTTTACACAATGGGCCGCAATAATTAGGAGACATGTTTCCTCACTTACCCCCGCCCTGGAAGGAGGTACACCTTAACAAAAGGGTCAGAGTAGCCATTGTTGTCTCTGGGGACAAGATTTCTTGCTTGAAGAATATGTATTATGAGATTTCCAAGATCATAGTTGATTTGAAGCTTTAGGGGACAGAAAATTATTCCATGAATTTCTTTTAAATATGTAATAAATCATCATTTAATGCTTTACTAATTCTTTAAAAATCTCATAAAATAACCATCTCATCTCAATTTTATTTGAAATTAAACAGAACAAATAATGCCTAATTTAATTGGAAGCTCCTAGGCATATTTGAATTTCTAGTAAACACGCTGTTCATTCTTTACAAAGAGTCTTGACCTACCTAATGCTCACGTAGAAGGAAAATCATACAGTGATCCTTATTTTTTTTGTATTCAACTTTTATTCATAGAAAAAGGACACATATTACTGCTGCTCAGTAGTACAATTACCAAGATTTTAGAAGATAAATTAAATAGCTGAAAATATATTATACAATTTTACTTGTACTTCATCAAATAATTAGCAGGGAGTAGAAAAGCTCTGTGTGGATGAAGCTTATATTTTAGTATTGAAATGCAAGAAAAATGTTAAAGTTATTTCTACTATGGTCTCTGATATTAAACCTGTAAATTCTCTTTCAGTACCTACTTTCTTACAAAGTAAAAGACTGACTGACAAATACAAACTAAGTTGAGGAAGGAAGAAGAGTCACGCCTAAGATGCTTACTGGCTCTTCACACCGTGACAGATAAATATTTGAGAAAGTGGCATAAACGAAAATAATTGAACTTAGTATGTTTTCTTTTTCATAATTGATTCTTTTGGCATCATTTAGATGGAGTCTTTTTTTTTTTCTTTTTGATACAGGGTCTTCCTATAGCCCCAACTAGCCTGGAACTCACTATGTGGACCAGGCTGGTCTTAAACACACAGAGATCCGCCTGCCTCTGTCTGCCTCTGCCTCTGGAATGCTGGGATTAATGAAAAGATATAGATTCCAAGGAAGAGATTTCTCTATAAAAACAATTTTTAATAATTCATACAAAACAGATATATAATGAAAATGGGTAACTGAAATGAGTCAAACTCTTTATTAAAACCTCATAATTAAAATATATCCTCACTTAGCACAATTTTGATCTGGCTATGTTTTCTGTAAGAAAGTGAATGTTTAACTGCATGATTCAATAGAGAAAAATCTAGAACTTTCTGACCATCAAATCATAAAAATGTGAATAACACAGTAAAGTATCCTAAAGGGAGAGCATTTTCAACTGTGGGCTATAATGGGATACTGAAATACAAAGGACATAACCCGCTGTTAACATCATGGACACTGCAAACAGCTTCTCTTTTTGCTAGCTCTGGAGCTGAATTGAAGTCATGATATAGCTGAATTGAAGTCATGATATAGCATCAAAGCCATTTCTGAGTGAAATGAAAATCCACAACAGCCTACCCTAAGAGCATGCTTTTCAAAACTCTTCATATGGCCTTAGATTACTTCAATCACTGTAGGTGGTGGTGGAGGGGATGGAGGAAGGGAGGGTGTTGGCAGCATTGATGCTGAAGGAGAAGGGATACCCGAACCATTTTCACACATAGAGCCCTAGTGCCTGTATCTTCATGGTTTGATGTAAGATTTGCCAAAACAACAACAACAAAATAATTGAAACAACTGCTTTAATAATATCCTAACTACTAAGACACACATTGTCAGGGTACAGTTCAACTTCAGAATTAAATCTTACTGCTGAAGGGACAGACAGAGCAAGAACAACAGAAACAAAGCAAAAAACCCAAAGAAAGCAGTAAATACAAGTCCAAAAGCATGGAGTTAAAAAATTAAAAAATAACAATAATAGGAGAAATATATTAAGAATAAGAAATTGTATTTTCTGAGTTTCTTGTGGAATGACCAAAGATAAGTCTGGTGAAAACCACTTTAATATCCAGAACTGGAGGGATAGAAAGATTTGGAATGCTCAGGATATCAGGCCCAAACCTGCCAGATCTTTCTGATGAGGCCCTATTTTGCCCTTTGGCACTTTGGTGATAGCCACATAACCACTTCACTGCTTTTCCAGTTTTTTGCCCTTCTCCTTGTAATACTTTCAGTAGGCTAGTGCCATGACTTTTATAGCATTTTCTTTTCCGATTAGTCTGTTTCTCACTCTAAGATATTTAGAACTGTTACTACAGTATATGAGGGATAATTTGCCTATGATTGATCCAAGGGTCTTTTTAACAGTGTCAACCTTGCAGTAAAAGCTGATTCTCTCATTCCTTCACTCTGGGAAGCAACAGCCTTCTGCTTATTCTTTTGGAACACACTCTCCTTTTCTCTATGCTTACTGAGACATTAGTTCATATCTCTGTTACCCTCTCTGATGTCCTTTGTGAAAATTCCCTTTAGACTATACTGGAGACACACAGGAGACTGATGCTTTTCTTTACTTGAAGCCTCCTGTTTTCAAGTAGCTAACTTGCACTTCTAATTCTTTCAATGTGACAATTCTTATCTACACTGAATTATCTTTTGCTATCACCCAAAGCAGAGTATTTAAAATATTTTACTGTGAATCACACTAAGAAATAAACTGCTATAATATAGTATACAAATGCAGAAATAAACACAGATCTGTACTATTTATTCTATTTTCCCAGCCAAAATTACTTCAATTGATCTTACAAATTACAAAGCTATCATGGTCTACAGTATGAAAAATACTTCTCTGCGGTAGTTGTTCATCAATAAATTAGTAAGGATTGATTTTAAAAAAAACCCTGCATTTGATTCATGAAACTCAAATATGAACCTTCAGATTTCTGAGAGGAGCAGCCCTGCATGAAAAGCATTCCATAAGCATGTGGTACTAGAGGAAGCACAGAACCTTCTGACACTGCAGATTTCACCATTGGCAATTTCAAGGCTATAACTGGTACTATAAACAAGCATGCATAGACATGCTATTAAATTGCATTTTCCTGTATAATTCAGTATGTGTTATGGAATACAAAAGAGTCTAGCAGTCTGTTGACAATACCAATAAACAAGTGGTGAAAATACTAAAAATAATATGACAGAATGATGACTTCTTTAGAAAATTTTTCATACCTGAATTTCTCCTGTAATTGGATGAGAGACAACTTTTGTTGCATCAGTAGGCTGAAATATTAAAAACCATATACCTCATTAATAAATAAAGTATTCATAGAATTTATCATTTCATCTTTCTTCTGAAATTAATTCTATTTGGTTGCAACACACTGCCTGCAAAATCCATTTATCCATTTGGTTGTGTCAGAAAAATAGCGTCCACTGTGCTCTCACTTATTTAATTTTGTGGGTATATAAATCTGTTTTTCATTTGGCAAACCTATTTTGAAGTCATAATTTTATATCAGCAGTGTTTTCAATTATTAAAATGAATACTTTTGTTTTTAAAGCACCTTGATTTATCATTTCAAAGTTTTAAAGTTTTATATAGTAATGAAAAGTATTTACAGAACTGGCTAGCATACGGAAGTACTCATCTTCTCCCCGAAGAGTGAAGCCCCAAGCAACTTCTCTATTAGTGGACAGTCCTTAATTAAAATCTACCTTTCCAGGTAAGATCTCATTTATTTCCTAACTCCTTAGGCAAATAAAGCCTTAAAAACAGTTAAGAAAGTGACCTAATTCATACTGCAAAAAAATGCCTGCTTCTGAACTTGTTAGATTTCCTTTAGATTTTTATACACAAGTAGATATGATGGCTCTGGCCCCAAGTAATATGACATCAATGTTGAATGACACCTCTCACATCCAATCCTATTACTTTATTGGTATGCAAAGCTGGGTTTGTTTTATTAAATGGGAAACAGAAAGATTTGTTGTACTTATCTTGATATACTTCTTTAGTTATTTTCCATCTATTCTTATTTCAGAAAAAAAGGTCAGTCAAAAGAAAACAGATTTACTTCAAGTCTTGCTTTATAAAATAACCAAACAATAAGATGAAGAAACCATTGGTAAGTTTATGAGGGAGCAGAGTTAGAGAAGTTAAGCTCTACATTCTTTAGGAGTTCAGCTCTTAGCCCCATGTGGTGGTGCATGCCTGTAGTCCCAGCACTTGGGAGGCAGGGGCAGGTAGATCTCTGTGAGTTCAAGGCCAGCCTGGTCTGCATAATTCCAGGTCAACTGGGGCTACAGGGAGACTGTTTCAAAAAGACAAAAAAATAAAATTTCAGTTTATTTATAAACTATGTCATCATCAATTAACAGCAATACTGCTCTGTGGTGCCAAAGGATAAACTGCTTGCTACTGAACAACTATCTTTGTTTAATAATTATCTTATTATAAATTTCAAATAAAGAAAACCAAATGTAGAAACAAAAAGGGTTTATACAAATTCCTAGAATTGTGGACTGTGTAAAAATGGGAGTTTTCTCAATCTAATGTCCTTGTCCCTTTTAAAAATAATTATTTAATTTTAAGTTACATAATAGCCTTACATATTTATGTAGTATAATATTATACCTTGACAAATGCATACATTTAATGATATAGAGTAGATAGCATTGAGCCAGGTGCAGAATGAAATATGCTGCTTATTTCATTGAGATGTGAATGTCAGAAGAATCGTGTTCACTAAACCCCAGGAAGAAAAGAGAGGAAAAGAATAGAGATCGGTTGGATAACAGAACCCAAAATACAGACAGAAATGGAGAAATAAACTGCAGTGTTATGTAGTACACAAAGATGGTGTCCTACTTTGTCTCTCCACTGCTGTGACAAAACACTCTGACCACAACCACCTTGGGGAGGAAAGGGTTTATTTTATCTTACATCTCCTGGGTTACAGTTTATCAGGGAGCCCAAGTAGGAACTCAGAGCAGGAACCCTGAGGCAGGATCTGGAGCACAGGCCATGGAGGAATGCTGCTTACTGGCTTGCTCTCCTGGCCCCTGCTCAGCCTACTTCCTTATGCAATTCAGGTCCACCTGCCCAGGGGTGGCATTACCCACAGTGGGCTGGGCCCTTCCACATCACTCATCAAGAAGATGCCCCTCAGATGTGGCCACAGGCCAGTTCAATAGAGGCAATTCCCCAATTGAGGCTCCCTCAACCTAGGTGTGTCAAGTTTACACTAAAGGTATCCTACACAGATGGCTACAAACTATAACAAAATACTGTACATATCTAGCAATAAATAAAAGAGAGAACTTCAAGGAATTCCAACACAAAAAGCCCTTCAGATTTGTCATAAAATTTAGGAAATAACTGGGATAAGAAGTAAAAAACAAAACAGTCCACCAAAACAATGAAGAGTGAATACTGATAAGTTACATCCTTTCGATTTCTTGTTGAGAATTGTAGCTTCTTTGATATATGTTTATGCAAACAGAGTGGATTTGGGAGGAGAATAAACTTATGGTTCATTTATTGTAATTTGGGAGTTCTGTTATAAATACAATGGGGTATTTTAAATTATGGGGGGTAAACGATCAATATTTATTGGATTTTCTGCAAATTATTAAGTACAGTAGCTATATTTAAGCTTTAGAGACAAGTATTCTTTCAATTGTGTCATGTCTTTTTGAAACTGGTTTGTTAAGTCTTGTATTAAAACATGCTGTGCAAGAAATCAGTGTATTGGTCCTATTGACTAGATGATGGGGTGTTACTGCTCAATATGAGTCCAGAGTTTGAAAAGTTGTACAGTGCTCATTAGGTGTGCATGTTCCAGAAACATGTAACTGTAATTAGTAACAAGGGAATAAAAGCACTGTATTTTTTTAAGAGATTACTTATTTACTTTTATGTGTATGACTGTCTTGCCTGTGTGTATGCATGTGCACCATGTCCATGCCTGGGTCCAATAGAGGCTAGAAGAAGGCATTGGATTTCCTGGAATTGCAGGTATGGGTGGTTCTGAGATGCCATCTAAGTACAAGGAATCAAACCCAGGTCCTCTGGAAACACAACAAGTGTTCTTAACTGCTGAGCCATCTCTCCAGCATTCAAAACCCTTTAATTTTATATGTAATTTTCCCAAAAGCCACTAGAATTTTGGAGATAAGATATAAACTGTTTAGAGCCTAGTATTTAATAAAGGGAACTGTTTTACATATTTCTTTGGACCTAAGGCTGTCATGGAAAACTTCATAAAGTTTTGTGGCTATCATTATTGAAGACAACAGTGCATATTGAATTAGTTTAAATATC